GGTTTGTGCTAAAGGCAGCTGTGCTGAGATACCCGCATGGTTCAGCGGGTGAAAGTTCTCCTGAGCTCTGATTGCTGTAGAAGACCTGAAAGGGAAAACTTTTGGTTAATAAATTGGCTCTTGATCCCCCTATTCAACAATATTTTGAAGTAAAATCCCCTCTAATTAAGACCCTGATAGTCTTTCTCAAGAGGCCCTTTCCTCTTACAAATAACCTCTGAGGTTTAAAATAACCTCTTCAAATACGCAGTGAATTACAAAGTGATAATTTATAGAAGAGACAGATACTACCAATTCTATTGTGATAATTCATCCTTTAAAAACACACAAACGAACAGAAAAAAAAAAAGAAACCACACAAAAACAAGCCTTTTATATAAGGAAACAAATTAGGGAGTATATTCGATATATGATGTGACAAATCTCTCCATACCCAAGTCTCTAGCATCTTCTAGCAATTAAATAAATTTAATTATTTAATTATAGCTGTTCTTCTGCCAGGGCTAATGCCTCCAGCAAGGCTCATTAAAAAGGGGAAGTTTTGTGTTTTCCAAATTTCCAGTCCTTGCTTTCTACTCTTTCCTGCAAGGTCTTAATAGCCTCTTTCACAACAATCAAGAGAAGCTTAGGGAGTTATTTTCACCTAATTAAGTCATTCTTTTTCCCAGCAATTTCATACACCATATGAGAGTAAACAGTCTAGCTCTCATTTTTAATGTAATGCAATGGGCAATCTTGAGCCATTAAAAACAGTTCTAAAGCGCCACCGTGCAGGGCTGTGCGTTATTCAGCGCATGCAGATACGCTCCCAGCAAAGAGCCTGCCAGGGCATGCAGAGCTGGGCTGCCGGCCCGCTCGAACGCCCGCGCGATGTTGTTTGCTGACGTTTCTCCTCTCTGTATTTGGAATGAGCTTGTGAAAATAGGCCCTGCCATAGTGCGCTCATTGAGAAGCAGCAGCAGCAAAGGAAGAAAAACAAAGCATTTCCCCACACTTCCGTATTGTAATGGGCTAGAAACTGTCAAAAGGGCCTGTTGGCACCTGGCCCGAACGACAGCTCAGAGGGCAGGAACTTGAAGTGTGAGAAAGTTTGTATAACAAGCAACTTCTCAAGCTCTAAAAACTTCCACTTTGGGCCTTTATCAATGTGCTAATCCATTCTAGGTTTGACTCCGCTAACCCCGCTCTGCTGTAACTGTAGATTTCCACAGATAGAGATGCACGTGCACATAGACAAGCTGCAGTTGCCTTGTGCTCTGACCCACAGCACATCCTGAGAAAAAAGCGGACACCAGCATCATGTCTCTCCGGCACACTCACAACACCTTTACCCATGTTCAGAGGGATCTCAAAGGCAGCTAAACCCACAGGAGCTGCTGAGAGCTCCATGAAAACCTTCCTGGGAGCAAATGCCAGATTTTGCCTTTTCATAGGCATGACAAAGAGGGAGGTTTGAGCCTCAGCGTGTTTTGGGCTCTACCGACCAGCACTTTCCAATGAACCAAGGTTTTGTAGAAGGCTGTCAGTCACCACTACCTTATTTTTGGGGAGGCTACCTGCAGCAAGCAGACGTGCTGGGTTTCGGACATGTCCTCAGTGCAGCAGGAGATGCCGGAGCAGCAGGCAGAGTCATTCATCTCCCCATTGCAGCAGCACCAGGATCCAATCCCTCTGGCCAAGCCCTTCCGTCACCCTTCAGTTGACTATTAAGTAGTAAAATTAGAAGTGCCCATAAAGGCAGAGGTCTCTTCTCAGGTGAGACCCCTATTTACGTCATGCAGATGCTTATTCCCCCAGATCAGCTCTGATCTCTATTCAGCTGAGGTTTACACAGGACATCCCTGCATCAACCACAGCCTTTCCTGCCTTACGAGAGGCACCACCAGCAATCAGCACTTGGGACGACACCTGCTTCCTAAAGCAGCTGCTTCCCACCCTCTTACCTGCTGGCACCATTAACTAATATCATCCACTTTATCTGAAGGGTCACTGATCAAAGGGTTCTTCAAGGTCACACATTTCTAGGATGTTCCAGACCTTGCTGAAGACCTTGCATTTTTTAGCATAAACTTTTTGAAAAAAAATAAAAGCCAGATCCTCCAGAGGCATAAACCAGTGTGCCTGTGCCCTGGTTTGTAGTAGAGATTAACTGCTCTGTGGCAACTGCAACACTGGAGCAAAGGGCTTTGATTTTGAAATCTGTTTGAACTGACTGTCATCGCTCCGCACTTGAGATCATCGTGTTATGAAAAGCTGCTGGTATTACATGCAAAACAGGTTTCTTGCAGCTGGAATAGAAAGTTTCATTCAGGTGCCCAGTAAAGCTGGCCTTGCCCATTTTGCCTTAAGGTTTTTTCCCACTGGTTTTATGTAGCTGGTTTGTGTATTTCACATGGCACTATGAGAGGTCTTTATCTGAAAAAGAAAAAACCCTGCAAGCCTATTTTTGTGTAGGAAAGGCAAATAAGTGGCAGAGAACCTTGCCTGCTGAA